ATTTGAGGTTACAGCGTGACGTCTGGGGTCTAGCAGGATTCTGACTGAGGTCATGTGACAGATTTTTGCATTTCTGTGTGCCTTTAAGGACTACTGTTCTTTAGGGTGCAGTGAATGCTGCGCAGGCCTCTCTGTGTGCGAGCAGTGCATCAGACTGGGTGAAATGTGCGACTGCCGCCTGCCGGCTGTGGGACCATTCCTGGCTGAATCGTGCTCTCCGGCTTCTGTAAGTAAACCAGCAGCACTGGCGGTCCATCAGCTCACGTTTGGAAACACTCTCCTCAACGTTGGTGTAAAATGTGATAAAACACTCAGACACATTCAAACAATGATGCTGATGAGGTGGGCAGAAGGTTCATTTTACAGTGAATAATTATATAAAATAAATCAATGATAGTCATTAAAAGACAGAGCGATTAAAAACTGACGTAAATAAAATGAAGCCTCACTGTTCCTGTAGTGGTCACATCAGGTGCCACTACCCCTAAACCAAAGGAGATTACTGGAGACAAACCAGCAACCCTTCACTTTCTCAAACCACTTTGGAGGCACTAATCCTGGTGATCTCAGATGTTATCAGTAATGACATGGTGTATCAATAATGTCTGTGAACTGGGAAGCCAGTGACCCCATTCACAGTGAGGTGAACATTTGCTGCAGAGCTGTGTGTCAGCTGTGTCAGGTTCCTCAGAGGGGGCTGGAACGCCCCACCATGACTGACAAAGGTTTGCAGATCATGTAAATGTTAAACAACACTGCGTTGTCCATATCATGCTGCAACCCACAAAGAATTTGAATCAGCAGGCTGTTAAACCCACAGCTGACCTCTGAACTCTGTGCTGCTGTCGAAAAAGCTGCTTCTTGTTGTTGCCTTATGTGAAGAAAGTAAGCTTACATATGATCAAGATTGTCAGCTGTGTTAGCTGATCAAAGTGTATCGTTAATGCAATAGTTTGGTTTAATAAAATCAGGAGGTATGAATCACCACACGCCTCATGATCTAAGTGTTAATGTCAGGGGTAACTTAAAATAATGAATGTGTGTGGGTAAAACAGCTTCCTGGCTGCAGGAGAAGTTCACCTGCTGGGACAGGTGAAGCTACACAAGCGTGCTTGTTGGTTTCTGCGGGTTCTTCAGGACACAGCAGGTGCCGCCGTTAAATCCTCGCCCAGAAAGTTAGTCTCCTGTCTGAGCTGCTGTGTTTTTCTTTCCTACAGTGCTCCAGGTGGGACTGTGCCTGTACCTGCCAGGTTCCTGACTGCGACTCCTGCAACTGTTTATGCTT